TCCACCGTCCCGTTCAGAATTTGTACTCCGGACCTATTGCATGAAACTCGTGTGTCAACCAGCTTATGCTAGAGCTTGTTCAGCTGTCGTTTTCCGAGACAGTCAGCTCATTTGGCCCGTAACCTACATATAAGTACTGATTAAGTGAAAGGTTTTCGAATAGAGCTACCAGATAATCAACTGTATCTCCCTTCATTGCCGTCGGGCCATAAAATGAACAGACTGACTATCTCTAAAGACGACACCGGAACAAACATGAATTGGCAATTCGGTTCACCCCTGGTATGAGCTGGTTGACACAGTGGTAACACATGCGTTCCATCAGATGGGTCCGGAATTAAAATCCATATGCATGCACTACCGATGAGCACCAATAAGAGCGAAACTCGAGTCTGATGCTTCCGAGTATACAGTTGAGAGCTGAGGATTTCACGTGAAAGTAATGTTCGAAGGATTTATAATTGTTGCAAGGTATAAGGATAGAATGACTGGTCGTGTGCGTGATAAGTAGTTCAGTCACACGTTAGGTCCCATGTTAGGTGAACACTGTGGTTTTGTAGATCAAAACGCGGATTCATCACAGTCTCTAGTAGAACAAAATAACGGACAATGACAGTTTTGCGGATTACGCAAACGGGGATGAAAACGACAACACTAAATAAGCCTCAAGGAAATCAAACTAATGCTATTAAGGAAAGAACGTTGGGGTGGATGGGGTGAGGGAACCTGGAAGGTGGAGGATAACAATCGGAACTTAAACGGGACAACGGTAGAAATCAGACAACTAAAATAAATGTGAGTTGAGTAGCAAACCCGCACAAACTGTTCGATTGGCTTCCAATCAACTGAACTATACCTGCTATGTTTGTTGGATACACATAATGGGACTATGGCACATTCACAATCGAATGTTCTGATTTGACGAAAACACAGTTCAGAGATGGCGACAGGCAAAATTTTTGACGAATTATCAGCAAAAGAGGTGGTAGCTGCAATTTGTGATTGACAGTTTACAAATAAGTGGTAATAAATAACTGGGATTTTTTTAAACATCACCTGATGTGGAACGAATAACGAAGGATGAATAGACGGATTATATTTGGATAGATTCTCCCTAACCTCCCCATTCCCTCAAAAAATAACCCCGCTCTCTCTCTCAGGTGATTCTGTGCAGAAAATTAGCGCATCACAAAATGCAATTACATTACTCTATCTGCCCTGGATTGCGCAGAGAACAGTGTTTTTCACATGTGTGTGTGTGTGTGTGTGTGTGTGGAGGGGTGGAAGTATCAATCCACTCATACAGCTTCAGTCAGTTCATCGATCAGTCTGATGTCAGGATAGTTAGATGCGCTTTCTTTTCAAAAAACCCAAACCAGAAATTCACATAAATGTAAGATTTTACAGTGACACACTGATATTGATTGGAGTGCCATGGGAATGAAACTCATAGATATCCGGTTATATGCATTCTCGAGGTCAGGGGATGAACTATGGCGTCAATGAGTTTCATTAAAACATATGCTAGCTTGCAGATGCGAACCGGTGCCTATGGATCAGTACAGGCGCAATTAGGAGTATTTGAACTGTAAGTTATGCATGATGAAACAGTCTCTCAGCCAGAATAAATTCGGTTCGATAAATTTATCGTGCTTTTCTTTTTAATGGTATTCGACAAGCATCCAATCGCCAGGATCATTTACTGCAATATCGACCATCATTTGCGCTTAAACACTATTGTGGTTTTTAAGGATTGAAGCGTAGTTTTTGAAATCCCACAAACGGCTGTGCACCGCTTCGTTTCCAAGCTCAATCACCGAGCGCATTCATTTATTCTCACCACACAAACATGGGGCCCGGAAAAACACCGACTATGTGATCGGCTTTGTGTTTTTTCCGCTGTCCAATGAGTGGACTGAGTCCTGGTAGTACGGCAACCTGGTCGCCAACTGGTTACGACCAACTGACCGGTAAATTAACGCGTTGCGGCGGTCCTACGCGTACTATATACGAACCTCCCACTGTTGGAGGGTGCTGTTAGGCCAGATGACCTGAACGTGACCTCACAATCGGTGCACATTGATGTGCCGGTTCGGGCGCGTGGCTGAGTCACACGGTTCCACTTACCCTGCAACACGGTGACCAGTTTGTGTGTGTGTGTGTGTATGTGTACTGTCGACCTACTTGAGCGAATACGCCCACTTCGTCCCCACTGGGTGAGATACTCGATAAAAAATAACAGCACACTGAAAGCACAACTTTCAATGGAGATCTGTTCGAGTTTGGTGACTGATTGAGGTCAGGGCTCAAGGTCACGATGGTCACGTTAGTTTAAATGCTTGCTCTGCCTCATTCAGATCGATGATATAATGAATGCTGTGATTCCCACGGGACCAGATGAACTCTGTCTATGCCTATGAGAGCTATGTCCTCCCTCTCCTTCTCCCCGTCCCCTCGCAACTACGGACCGTTGTTTCAAGTCAAACAATATGCACAACGATTTGTATGACAGAACTATCCAAATGGATAATTTTCCGCACCTGATCAATTTCATGATTGGGGTAAAACAACTCCGACAGTTGTCTTTGCAATAACCCCTCCTGCTGGTAGACTGTCTCCCTTGCAAACTATTATCCTTAAACGAACCTTCACACTGACAAGGTTTTGACGGTCAATTGAAACCACTCGTCTTTTGTATGGACCACTGCTGTAAAAAGGTGAATTATTTAAAACATTCATAGTAATGCCGTGATACATGACGTAAATTGGATTCAGCTCTGATTTTTCTATCACAGACTGTAATTTGAAGAAAATTTCCCCGGGAGGGATGTATTCACGTGGTTTGTGAACCAAGTACACATAATTGATCGATAGAAATCCACAGATAGCTTCGAAAAAATAAAAATAAACAACTTTAGATCGCATTCTTGAAGAATCTTCTCTTTCCAGGCACCTGGCTCATGAATTGCATGAGTGGCAAATCTAAACCTTCCTAGTTCGCACCCAGATTGTTCACCGCAATTGATTGTTCTTCTTCATATGTTTAACGACGATTAATTCATTACTGAAGAAGCAATTAGTTACTGCAGCTCACCGCAAAATCGCATTTGAAATGGGGAGTGGGTAGGGTGACCATGTCGAGTGTGGTAATGGCCATGGGAGACCGAGTGTTTCTAAGATTTGCCTTTGAGAGCGGAGGGATTATGTAGCCGGACTCCGACTGCTTCTCCTTAGGGTGACGGTTATGAACGACGTAGAGGGGTAGAAAATCCTTTCCTGCCTCAACCATTGTTATGATGCCGCGTACCGGGAACACACACGTGAAAAACGATTTAAGGGGAAAACGAAACACCCAAACTATGTGGAATGCCTTTCGCTCCGTCATGTCATCCCCTTACATAGTTGGTGTTGCCAGAAACCGTATCTGTTCAGAATGAATATCGATTTGTGCCGAAGAAAAACAGTATAAATCACAAATTTTCAGTGTTGTGCCCAGAGATTGAACCGTTGTCCCTCAGTTTGTTTTGGTTACGCTCAGCTTGTGCAATGGAGAAACCCAGTTCTCCCGGCAAAAGAACTCTCACAGAGCTATCATCAGTTTTACATCTCGAATGGCTACGTGTCAGGAACACAGCGCAAGTCAGTCAGTATTAGGACATGAACGCAG